TTGCCAAAGAAAAACTGATAAATAGTTAAATAGATCTCATTTGTGAGCTTTCTTTCATAAAGTGGTTTGTTACCGAAGTTGATGAGAACTGAAAATGAGAATATTGAGTGTTCATATTTAGATCTCTGACAAATCTGAGCACGGTTTGAGATATTGTTGAGATCTTCTGAAACTCTAGAAGTCTGTATTTGCTCTCCATTTAGTCTCACTGTTGCCAAAGAAAAACTGATAAATAGTTAAATAGATCTCATTTGTGAGCTTTCTTTCATAAAGTGGTTTGTTACCTTTGCTCTGGTATGTCAGTTGGAGGGTCAAACTGGTTGTATCCGTAATACTGTTGAACAAAATAATCAAATGTTAAAATTGTCACAAATGTGGAAAAGCACTTAGTAAGACTTTCTCTGAGCCAATCTACAAGGCTTGACCAATCCAGGTTGTTTTTACCATCTGATAGTTTCCTTCACCAAAATCCAGCTGTGTATCCGTATCATCATAGTCAGGGAATGTCTCATTCTGAACGACCACAGGCTTCACGTGATCAGCGAATGAAGCCGCACGCAGGAAATTTGGAGGCTCCTACAACATTCATATGCATATATTCATCTGTTCAGCATTTTACGCCATCTGTCAATATTGTTTATTTCATACCATTTTGTAAAAACGTTTTCAGTAAACACGACTTGAAATTCAAAATGTAAAGATCTTACATCGGGAAGATCAGGAATCTGAATGATAGATTTGAAAAACTCCATCCCTCTCGCTCTCTCAAAAAACTGCGTCAAACTGTGGAGGACAAAGACAGACCAAAAACTACTCAAAGCAGCAGTAATTTCATGAACTTCACTTTTACATTTTGTGAATTTAATTGAATAAAAGCACCTGCCAAATTAGTATATGTAAAAGCACTGTAAATAAATGCTGTTCTTTTGAACTTCCTATTCATCAAAGAATCCTAAAAAAAATGTATCACAGTTTTCATGAAAATATGAAGCAGCACAACTCTTTTCAACATTGATAATAATAAGAAATGTTTCTTGAGCAGCAAATCGGCATATTAGAATGATTTCTGAAGGATCATGTGACACTGAAGATGCTGAAAATTCAGTTTTGCATCACAGAAATAAATCACAATAAAGTGCACTCAAACAGAAAACAGTGCTTTTAAATTGTAATAATATTTCACAATATTTATATTTTTACTGTATTTTTAATTAAATAAATGCAGACTAGGGGAGCCTTGGGGAGACTTCTTTCAAAAACAAACAAAAAAAATCTTACCGACCACAAATTATTCTGAATTATAATGTACATTACATCAGTAATGTCTGATATTATTATTGTTATTTTTTTTTTTTTATAAATCAGTGTCGTTATGATTAGGCTGATATTGGAAGCTGATCATATCAGGGGGTTTTTTTTTTACTAGAAACATTTAAAGTACTAACATTTGACCATCTTTTCATCTGTATATTATAATGTTTTGATACCTGAATTCACTTGTAAATTTCTAGATTGGCATGAAGAATGTTTATTTCAATAAATATATATGAATAAATATATATTAGTCAGTGGCAATAACAAAAACTATTTTCTGCTTTTGCTATTGGACAAAATTTCTATGTCGGTGCATTCTTACATAATACTGCAGTCCACCGTTACCTGTTGAACTGCTCGCGGAATCGTTCCCTGTGTCCTAACAGAGCGTCCAGCGGTATTCCTGTGACACAGATGCACAGCGCCGGTAAACTCAATGAAAATGATGCATATAAATGAAGAGAGCAGCATGTAAACAACAAGACTCACGGCTGTGTAGCTTGAACAAGAGCTTGACCAGGAAATGGTAGAGCGGACTGCAGTCCTGGATGATGAGAACCAGCGGTGCCAGACGGCACTGACCCACAGGAGTGGTAGAGCTGGTGGAGCTGGACTCCATCTGCCGGAAAACTGCATTTAAAAAGTACAAAATATTTTTTATACACACACTGCCGTCTCTTCTGCTCACCAAGGCTGCATTTATTTGATCAAAAATGCAGTAATTTCAAATAACTGTTTTCTATGTGAATATATTTTAAAATGTAATTTATTCCTGTAATGCATAGCTGAATTTTCAGCATCATTACTCCAGTCTTCAGTGTCACATTATACTTATTATTTATTTATATTTTGTGCAATCCGTGATACATTTTTTCAGAATTCTTTGACGTGTAGAAAGAAAACAGCACTTGAAATGGAACTCTTTTGTAACTTTATAAATGTCTTTACTGTCACTTTTGATCAAATTAATGTGTAAGTAATGAATCAGAAAGCATTAAAAAAGCATTTTTGGGGTAAAACATTATGTTTACCTGTTTCTTGCAGCTTTAGAGCTGCTTCCATGTACTCCAGAACCTCACCTGTCATGTCAAACCTGTAAATACAATAATCATGAGTAATTAATTTACATCAACAGATTATTCAAGCTCACTGAAATCATTAGCGATGTACTTACACTTTGTTAATATCAATGGCGATGGCTTTATCAAGAACCTGTTCAGGAGCTTCAAGGTTTGGTGGGATTTCCAGATGCTGTGGTGGAAACAAGATAGATAGATAGATAGATAGATAGATAGATATTTCTTAACTCATATGTCAATGAAGGAAACATTAAACTTACCTTTAAATGGAAATCGATTTTAACACACAGCAGCTTGGCATACAGTGCAACAATATGTCCATATCTATCATGTAGATTCCCCTAAAACACAGCAAACACATACAAAATTTAAGCTGAAAGTTTCAGATGAAAGATGATGTAAATGACTTGCTCAACAGAAAAACATCCAGATCATTTTGAACTCACCCATAATGTTCCCATCTGTCTAATGTTTGCGGTGTGACCTCTGCTGTCTCGTAAAGTCTACAAGAAAGACATCAATTTATATTTGTAGGGTAGTTTTAGACAAATAAAGTCAAATGAAAGTCATTTTCATCTCATGATACTGTGGTAGATGAGACTGACGTTAGGATGGCCGTCTCGAAGCAGTTTGTGCACCACGTGGCAGAACTTCCAGCTGAGGATGGCGTTACTGGACAGCGGCAGACTCACGGCATGAGACCAGAACGTGACGGCACCGCCTTCCTTATGTGTGCCTAAAATTATATCTGTGCAAAAGTTAAGGACAATGTACAACTCCAGATGATATTTAGCAAAGATGATTCATAACATTTGCTAAATAGCAAATTTCAAATGCCTGAATTTTTATTGTATCTTAAAATGCAACTAGATTATCACCCAGCTCTTTATATAAAGTTGGAAATATATAACTAAATTCAACTTTATCCATATACATAGAGTACACTCACATAAAGCTATATACAGAATATAGCAAATCTCAATTGCTTGAGTGTTTACATTGCAGTAACATGTAAACTATATTATCACCCAGCTGTGATTCTGCTAAATGCAACTAATAAGGCATGAAGATATTACGATATTATAAACATTAACATCATCATTTTTCGTGAAGCTGCTTTGAAACAGTTTATTGTGAAAAGCATTACACAACTAAATTTGACCGATTGACTGATAAAGTACATGCTGCGACTGTAAAACCTGGGCATCTGTGCGTAAGCTCACTACAACACACAGTGAACATGATTATAAACATAAGAAATGCTGTATTAAACCAATACTAAAGGATACTGCGTCCATATTTCTCTTTGATAGGGGCCTCCACATTGGTCATGGATTTGGTGATGCTTTGAAGCTGTAAAGCAGATGAAATGGAGATTTGACATAACATCATTAATTAAACACAATACATGATGCACACCTGTAATGTAAATGAATATGATGGTTTAAAATATTAAATAATACACATCACAATGAAGTGAAGCACAAATTAATAACCAATAAATAATTGCAGCCAGGATGATCATCTGAGTCTGATTTTACATGTGTTTACATAGCAGTTCAGTTTTTGGTAATATAATAATACAATACCATATCCATACCATGGTATTTACATGGTACTTTAATAATATCATGATGTATATCCATATTACTATGGTAAAAGACATTGGACTACAATGTTATACTTCCATACAAAACATTTTTGGACATGTATGGCACATATCCAAAAAAGATTATAGTGACTATCAAACACGTTATTACTGTGGTACATAACATACCCAGCATGATCACATTTCAAAAATCATGGCATTATAATGGCGCATGTCCAAAAAACAAGGAATGTACATTAAAACAATGTTTTTAAAACATAATGGCGATTGTTTTTCGGCGACACGTATATGCAATTAACATACATTTCGCGGGGATTCCAAGCGATAAAATGTGAGGATTTAAAAGTGGAAAACTATTTTAAATAGTTTCAAAGATAAGGTAATATGACAAAAACACCTGATGATAGTCTATTTATCAGGTGTTTTTGTCATATCACCACCTTATCATTGAAATTAAAAGGAAAACACCAAAGATTTTAGATTTTTCTATGAAGTATATATATAAACGACCACTAAAAATCAAATACTCGTTGAATGCAGTAAATATGTGCGCGGGCGTCATTCTCACCTGAAGTTTGACGAATTGCTCCTTTTCTGCAGCTAAAGCTTTTTCAGATTTATCCGTTTTCTCGTTTTTCTTCGATTCGGTTTTCTTTGAGGCCATGTTTAACTCCTTCCTCAGATGAAACCAGATGTGTACAAATGATCGAGTCCCGACACACACACACACTCTCTACCTGTCACGTCAACGAGTCACACACAGGTGAGTTTCCTCACACGCGCTCTATGTACGGCGTTTACTCAATCTGAAATTGTATTTCAGTCAAAAAAATTATAACTTCCCCAAAAAACGAAAAACAGTAAAAACATTAAATATTCCAACTACTTAAACCATGAACTACTTGTTTATATATATATATATATATATACAAATACAAATAAACACTAAAATGAAAGTCACTCAAAATCACCATTTAAAAGAAAAAAGTTAATGACAGCATGTAAAGACCTTTATTGTTCTTTTAGATGTCCTTAGATTAGGCAAATATCAGTGGCTTTTGAAAAGGCCTCCTTGTCCTTACTGTGAGAACAAGACTGCATTTCAGGTGTAAAACAATGATCAGGACAAGAGCCACATCACAGTTCGTTATCTTTGAAACCAAACAGGTTCGATGACCGTGAAACTGGAATGACAAAAAAACAACCAGCACCATTGTGTCATCTTGTATGACAGGTTTAACACTTGAAGAAAGTAGTTTATAAATAACGACAGTCTTAACATTGTTCAGAGGTAGTGCTTCTGTAGCATCATTAATGCTTATTTTTATACACATATCATAAAAAGATTTTGATAAAAATGTAAAACTATAGCATCTGTAAAAACTACTTGTTAGCTTCACAAAACTCCTCTTTGGTTGCAAAGAACTGATTTATTTTCAGAAGCTGTAGAGAAGATGGAGGTAAACGGGGATTCGCTGCTTCTCGTGGCTTTATGGACCACATTACTTGCTTCCTTGATGCAAACGTGGGCTGCTTTCGATCTGGGAGTCACTTTCCTTTAGGACAATAAGGAGAAAATGGCATTTAGCTGCAGTTTCATCTTGAAGCATACTATGCATTAAACTGTTATTTAAATTAGTTTTGTGATGTAATAGGTACCCCGTGTGTTTGTCTGCCCTCCTGGCTATGGGTGGAGGTTTGGGAGTGGCTGCCGTTGCCATGGTTACTTTGGAGGTGACAAATGGCATCGCAGTTCATTGGGCTCTGAGGTTTCGTTGGGCTGACAGATTTCTTGGTAGAACTTTCCAAACTTGCCACCATTTCCTGAGACTCAGCCAGCAGACGCTGTAACCGTGTTGTGGACGAGCTGTAGCCCTCCTGCATGGTATGAAAATACACAAGAAGCTAATACTAGTGTATTGTACAAAATAAGTATTTAATCATCATCATCATCATCATAATTATTAAAAATGCTATTTTTATTATTATTTAAATTATAAAAATTACAGAAAAAAATACAGGAAAAAAATATATAGAGCAGGGTTATCAAAAAAAATTCTAATTTCGAATATTCGTCGAATTTAAAATAAAAATCCACATTCGAATGCAAAAATGTTGCATTCGAATTTTAGGTGTGCGTTAAGGAGGCAGCCTTATCAGTGGTGCACGAGATGCGATGACGACGTAAGTGTCATTGCATTTTAATGTTTTTGTTAGTCTATACAGTTGAACCCACTGGATGCGGTGCTGCTACGTTGTTAATGACAAATATTGCAGGAAAAGAGAACGTCAATGCGGAGAAGATGTTGTTTACGTCAAAACTGAAATCAAGCCGTTCACACAGAATGCATATTTCGTGCATTTTCTAGAGGGACATCTATCACCGTTGCACTCGCATCTCGCACAAAAGAGCGGGGGGGGGTTCCCATTCCACTGCATGTCATGTTTTTAAATGAAAAATGTATTCTGTGTGATTGGCTTTCGGCCCTTTGTATTAAACTATGCATACATACATGATGTTGTTTTGTTTATAGTTGTTTAAGCAACTTAATTATAATTGGTTTATAAACATTATTTTAAACATTATGTACTTTTTTTCACAGATAGTCACTATCTTATGCTTTGAATAAACATGCATTAGTAATATTTTGTTCGATGCGCCCTCTTGTGGCCTCAGGAGAGAAGCCAAAAGCTTTTCTTCACCCTAACTGAAATTATGCATTTTAAATTAAAATATAATTTGAATTTTGATAATATTTAAGTACAAAATTCGAATTTAGTTGTTCAGCCATTTTTACAGCCCTAGTATAGAGAGAGAGAGAGTTGTATTTTTGCATTGTATTGTTGAGCTACCTCATTGCCATGGCAAGCTACATCATTGGCACAGAGTTCAATGCTTAGCATAGAATCGGGTAAACAGACAGAGCTCCGCCTACTTCTGTGACAGGGGGAGGGGCAATCCAGATGAAGAAGGCTCAGATCTGCTGTGCTAGTTAATGAAGAGAAAGTCACTGTTATGATCAGGCCAACAAAATCAACAATGGTTTTATGCCTGCTTGATCTTAAAACATACCTACATAAAATCTTATTATGGTAGGACATAGTAAAACTTAGCACTACTTTAATAAGCCACCAAAAAAAAGGAAATATTATATTTAAAATTGGTATGTGCTTTTAGCATCGCCAAGGTGTGCGTCTGATTCCCAGGGAATGCATGAACTGATAAAATACAATTGAATGCAATGTAAGTTGCTTTGGATAAAAGCATTTGCCACATGCATAAATGTAAATGCTTTTAACTGAATGGGGGGGGGGGGGGGGAAACAAGCAACTTTGCTCTCGGATTCATTGGAGTTTTTGTATAAACCTATGATTACGACCTAACTTGCCAGATGTTTTAATAAGGCTAGAGAAGCCTACCAAGAGAATCTTGGACTGATATCCACATCAACAACACAAACAGGAGTTCCTGTCTCTGAATCATAGTCAATGACAGCCATTAAATCCACATCAGCTCTAGTGTCACAGTGCACTGCCTGACAGTGTGGATCTTCTGATGGGCTGTCAGCATTATCACAGCAGAGAGACTGGGATGACAGCTCAACACAGTTGTTCGCTCTTTCCTTCATTTCCATCTTGGGTGATTCTTGCTCATTGATGCCACACTGGCTAGTTGCACAGCTGTTCTTAATGTTGGCGCCACAGCAACTTTCCACTACAGCTGAAAGCTCTGTGAATTCATGGTTTGTGGTGCTCAAAGCTGCGCCAAAGTCATGCTCAAAGTCAGTCTGCGTTTCCATTTCAACACAAGGACGCTGCATTAAAATCGATGGGGCATTTCCGCTTGTGCTGTGGCACAGGGTGGACATTAGCCCTGTTTCTAGTTCTGTCCTTTCCTGATGATCACTGTTTTCTAGCACATGACTGTCTCCTAAACCAGAATCAGCCCTACGAACACAACAACACTCATAACTCAAGACGCCTAGACCAGGGTTAATAAATGTAAAAAGTTGGAAATATTGCTTTGGCAAATAACTGAAAGAAGTTACTAAATAAGAACTAAAATTACTGAATGGAAATACAAATACAAACTAAAAATTAAATAAAACCAAAACCAAAATAAATGAAACCTATACAAGTAATATTAAAATAACAAAATATTACAAATAAAACCTAATTCAAAATAAAACTAACTGGATATGAATAAAAACTGAACTAAAACTAAAACATTATATTCAACCTACATAGTAATATTAATATTTTACAATATTCCAAAAAACACTAAATAAATTATTAAAAATAAACTAAAATTAAGATGAAAACTAAACATATAAAACATAAAAAGTAATTTAAAATAGAATTACTAACCGGAAATGAATAAAAACTAAAACTTAAATAAAAATATATTAGACTTAAATATTCATATTTAAAAAAAGATAATAACAACAGAAGTGCTGTAACAAAATTTCTCTATATAACAATTGACTACAAATTAAACTAAAATGAAACTTAAAATATAAAAATAAAAGATAATTCAATATATTAAAAATGTATAATAGTAAAAACAAACAAACAAAAATACTAAAACACTGGTATGGACAGATGTAAAGCCAGTGGCTGAAATAAGCAATTTAATTTGATAAAACATGTTGCATGTTGTAGATGCCCACCTCTCATGTGACCTTTGACCCTCATGATGTCGGAGTGTCTCTCTGGCGCTCTCCAAGTTCAACTTCAGCAGCTGGAGGTCATTCTGTTGGCTTTCACACACCTGTCACAAACATATGCAATAATTATAACCCTATCAATCATTTATTATGTGTTGACTTGGTGTGAGGAAAATCCTAACCAATCAGAACATTTCTGATGCTTTAAGTACAGAAATATGGATCAGGATTATAGAGAAATATAAAAAAGGCCCATTATAAAAAGGCAAAAAGATTTAAGAAGGGTAATCATCGCTAACTAAAGCCATAAAATACATTTTTGTTACTTTGAACTTTAACTGAAATCAAATAAAATATACAGAAAAAAAACACCTTAAACCTATTTTAAGTGACAAGGCAAGTTTCTCATTTTCTTCAAGTACTAAAATAACTAAAACTAAAATAAAAATTAAAAATAAATAAATAAAAAACAAAAATACACAATAAAATTACAAAAAAAAATTAACTGAAAACTGTAAATATAAAAACTATAATAGCATCTCGATACTAAAGTAACACTGGGTTATAACCTGTTCTTTTAAGATTACTGGTGCTGTTTTAGAAGAGATCACGACCATGTTTAAAACACTAAGGCCCGGTTTCACAAAGAGGGCTTAGCTTAAGCTAGGACTAGACCTTAGTTAAATTAAGATATTTAAGCAACTTTTACAAAAATGCCTTAGAAGAAAACATTACAGGTGTGCATCTTGACACAGTATCTTTCCCTTGTCTGTGAAACCGGGGGTAAGTCATGAAAAAGGAATGCAGGAAGTCTTACAAGCATGCTGAAAAACTGGAAAAACTACTCTGGAACAAATGGAAATGACAGAGATTTCTAAAAATGAACGCTGGCTGGCATTGGATGATGTAAAGGGAGGAAGTTTTGAAAGACAGTACCTGCCGCAGACAGAGCAGCTCAGATTCCACTCGAGCTTGTTTTGATCGGGAGAGTTCAAGTAATTCATCCCTCCAGCTTTTATCTTCATCTGGGCAACAAACAACAACCTCCATTAATTTAAAACAGTAAGCATAAGCGATCATGAAAAGACTGTAAAATATGTTTCTGCATCTGCACCAATCAGTGTTTAGGCATCGCTGCTGTTTATAATCAGTTTTTAACAGCTCTGTTCTGAAACCAGTGAGGGTGAAATCATGAAATCTTGCTTTCAAAGATTTCAACCATTACATTTTTAAAAAGACTTGCAACAAATTTAATTTTTAGGCAATAAGCATTAATAACAGGATCTAAAGTGTTTGTCAATTTTTTTTAAAACTTATACTGACACACACTTAAAAGTCTCACTACAGCAACAGCCTGCTAGCTAATTTTCAGATTTTTATTTATTTATTTATTCATTTATTTTTTTATTAACAGTCATGCAGTTACTTGAAAATAACAGAGGTTCCCCAAACTAGAGAATACGGCGTGGACTTCATGAGTTGATGAAAAGCTAATAATTAAATAAATCATAAAAACGTAAAATTTTAATAATTTTAAAATAAAAATCATAGAAATAAAAAAAAAGTTAAAATATTACATGTTTAAAATATATTTAAAAAGATCAGATATCGCATTTATTTACCTGCATGTCATGTGACTATTAAACAACATCAAAGAACCGTAAACGTGAATTTGTTCTTCAAGGGGTCATATGATGCTGCTAAAAAGAACATTATTTGGTGCATTTGGTTTGAAATGTTTATGCGGTTTAAGGTTAAAAAAAAACATTATTTTCCACATACTGTACATTATTGTTTGCCTAGAGTGAGCAGAGGCGGGCGGGCTTGCGGCAACCACGTGGCGACTCCGGGCTGGACTCCGCTTTGTCCACGGTGAAAGCCGATCCGGCGATCCACAGCGCAAAGTTGATTAACTTTTATAAAGAATATCTCTTTGGATTTGAGACTTTAGTCTTTGCAACTTTACAGATCTTCTTTATGCACCAAGAGCTTATAACACTCCAAAGAGAAAGGAAAACTTGAAATCGCATCATATGACCCCTTTAAATTATTTAAAAACAAACGGAGTACTTAAGTAAATATTTTAGGTCAACTGATTTGAAAAGTTGACACAAAGTGTGTGAGTCCAATATAGTGAGACGTTAACATTTTTCTATCAACCAAATAGTCAAATAAAAATAAATACAATACATATAAACAAATACTGAGTGAATGTGTGTGTGATTAATTACATAATTCTGGGTGCTGAAAAAAAAATATGTATATTTAATCATGTCAAATCACAATGCATTCTGGGACCACCTGATTAGTGAAGAATACATGATGCAATGTTTCTATAGATGTTTCGGTGTCTGAAGCACATCTATGATGCTGTCTAGGTAGAAAGGTTTGTAGGGTTGGAAACAGAGCCTATATTATACTATGAAACATGCAGTAGTGGCATACTCATCATCTGAAGTTCAACAGAAGTGATGTCTTTCTTCAACAGCTGGTTTTCCTGCTTTAAGCAGATGAGCTCTTCTCTCTGGCTGTTGTTCTCGATGGTTTTCTCCTGAAGCTCGGCTGCAAACAAATGAAACACGTACTGACAACATCCTGATGAATCCAGCATGAATTAATTCACATGAATACGATTTAGAATGTACTTTTTTAACAGTCGTGAAGAAATTTTCAAAGTAGCTACTATACAGTATTAAATTTCAGACACGGTGAGAGATTGTGAAAAAACACCGTCTACCTTTCAGTTGTGCGTTTTTGTGTCTGCTCTCTCTTAAACGGTGTTTGTGTTCCTCCATTTCTCGCAGCGTTTTGCTCTCACGTGTCCGCAGCTCTTCGAGCGATTTCTCTAGTTCGCAAAGACGACCAGACAGCTCTAAAATGTGATTGGTGGCCTCAATCATATCTTTATCCTGGTGAAAAAAATCAAGTGCTTGCATTATGTGTCTGTTTATCAGGATATAAGATAATGTATGTGTGCATGAGTGTTTGAGTCTCTCCGACCTTCAGTTTAAGCATGGAGCTGAGCTCCTCCTCGCGCACCTGCAGCTGCCCCACCTGTGATGATAGCCTCATGACCGTGGAGTTCAGACTCTGGTTCCGCTCCTATGAATACACAAAGTATTATAAACTATAAGAACAAGTAGGGATGTAACGATATTATCAATATCGAAATATTGCGATAGCAAAACTGTCTCAATATTATTGTGGTCACATGATGATATGAAACGATAGGTTATCTGGGAAAGTGTAGTTTTTAAATATATATTTAAACTTCTTATTCTAACATAAAAGGTCTTTGTTGTGTTTTGGGCCATTATGCTTTGGCACAGTACTGTATCTGTCAAACGAACTCAAACCGAGAGCACAATATGGCTTAATCCCTTCATCAAGTGTTTTTGCTGCACGTTTCAAAGTGATCAGCTCATGATCCGGTGTTTTCCGCGCCTCAGAAAGGCTCTGTTCACAGTGAATGCAGTGAACCCGTTTATTGCATGTGCTGTGAGTTTAGCACGCATTTAGGAACGCAACGGCCACTAGTTATGCTTTATTTTGGTGGCAGATGATTACAGCATTTTACTAGATTTGTAGTGAGACACGTTTTTGTTTTTGTAAGCCTGTTTTCACTGAAGCTGGAGTTTTCCTTCAAAATAAACGCTCTACTGCAGTTTCTGTCAAAATAAAAGCTTACAAGTGCAGTATGAATTGCTGACAGCTAGCGGTTTAAATGCAGTCCAAATTCAAAATATCTCTTTAAAGTGTAGAAATTAGGAAAGAAGTATTGTAATTTCCCTACTGTAGTTTAAAGCAAAAATAATATACCTATGAAATATTTTCATTTATTTTACAGTGCAATTGTTTTACAATATATGGCTATTACTGTCATTGTTGTTGTTATTATTATTCTATTCTAATTTGTTTGGCTTCCTAAAACACCAGTGTGAATGTAATTTAGACTGAGACAGTATATCATAAATAAAAAGAGGTTTGAGTCCCCTTTAAAGTTAAGGTACAAGTCAATTCACTGACTTTTTTCTGACTTAAGATTTCTTAGTTAAGAACATGGGTTGCAGCTCTTAATTTTGAACTCTCAAAGTGCATTAGATAGAATAATTTAACTTTAAAATGTACTAAATTAATTTTTTTTTCCAATTCTTCATTTGTCTTTTTTTTGTTTTTAATATCGCCATAAATATCGTATCGTGGACTTCATGCTTCATATTATCGTATCGTGAGATTTTGATATCGTTACATCCCTAATAACAAGTTATGGAGTGTTTTACCATAAGATAAAGAGAGTGGAAAGAAACGATGTAGGAAGATGGAGGAATGGGAACAGAAAATGGAACATGCTGGGGCAAAAGTTCAGACCTAAAACAGCTTTGACTTCACCTCCAAGTCCTGCTCGTGTCTGGTGGTGTTCATCTGTGTGCAGCTCAGCTCGTGTAGCTGCTGTTGGGAGCTGTTGAGCTCTCTGTATAAGTCTTTCTCACTCATTTCTGCCACCTTCGTCCGCTTACTGAGTGCTCTGATCACCTCGTTACGCTTCTCCAGCTCATCTAAGAAAACATGAGCAGTCAAATACATTACCATTCAGGTTTGGGATCAGTAAAACTTTAATCAGCAGGTATACATAATTGACTGTAACATAGAAAATATAGCTAAAAACTTTCACAAAAATATGAAGCTGTACAACTGTTTGCAACATTGATAATAATCAGAAATGTTTCTTGAGCAGCAAATCAGCATATTAGACTGATTTCTGGAGAATCATGTGACACTGAAGACTGGAGTAATGATGCTGAAAATTCAGCTTTGCATCACAGGAATAAATTGCATTTTACGATATATTCAAATAGAAAATAGTTATTTGAAATTATAATAATATTTTACAATATGTACTGTATTTTTGATCAAATAAATGCGGCCTTGGTGAGCAGAAGAGACTGTAGCTCTAATTACTTTTAGATTCACGGAAAACTGAATTTCCAGCAACTTTGAATCAGAAGAGTTCACGGCTCAAAATGTTCCAGTTCATTTCTTTAAACGTATTTATTTATTGAAACAAAGGTGCAAAAGTAGAGCCATGTTTTGAAACTTCAACAGTACATAACAGTGCTTACATTTAAGGGGGAATATAGAATTCTTAAAAGTATAGTAGCAAAAACAACCTAATTCTACAGGACAGAAAAAGAGTGGAAATGGTAGTTTTAAACTAAATTATAGTGTTTTGGTGCAGGATTATTAGTGAACTTGCAGTGCAACTGGAGCAGCGCTATTAGTATTTTCATTATACTATTCTATTCTATTATACTATTACTACACTATTGAATTAGCTTTTATTTATATATTTTCATTTTAGTTAAGCATATTAAGTTTAAATTTAAGTAATTTTGTTAAATGTTTTTGACATTTACAATTTAAATTTAATTTAAGTTTTAGATTTAATTCCAGTTAGTAATGGTAGTGCTTCAACTTAAACTTCTTTTAGTTAGTTTTTCCTGATAAGGTCAGCTTTATTTTAATTAACAAAAATGCTTTTAATAGTGTCAGTCTGATTTTAGTTAACCCTGCTCTGGAGTCACTCTCACCCTCCAGTCGGGCACATCTCTGTTCCAGGATCAGCACTCTCTGACGGTCCTGCTCCCAGGAGAGCAGCTGCTTGTGATGGGCTGCTGCCATAGTGTTGAGCTCCTGGTCACGGTCCTTCAGTTCTGCTATGAGAAGCTGCAGCTCCAGACGCTGCCTCTGAATAGTGGAGACCTCCAATCCATTAACTGGGATCTAGTAACATTCCAAAAACAGGCCAATACTTAGTTAACAAAAACACAAAGTCATCCAAGAGTTACCATGGCATTCACAGTTTTAAAGGAATAGCTAAACCAAAAATCAAAATTAGCTGAAAATGGATTCCAAACACTTAGTTTTTTTGCTTCACAAGATGTTAATTGATGCACTGGAGTGGTGTGGGTTACTTGTTTACTTGACTCTCATTCTGACGGCACCCATTCACCGCATAGCATCCATTGGTAATGCTAAATTTCTCCAAACCTGTTACCATGAAGAAACAAACTCACCTACATCTTGAACGGCCTGAGAGTACATTTTCAGCAGATTTTCATTTTTAACTATTCCTTCAAAATACAATTTTATTCTGGAAAACTGGGAACTATAACGCAAAAAGCAGCAAAACAGATTTTGGAAATCAGTTCAAGCCACTTCAAACGTGTTACCTGGAAATCCTGTGTTAATGAGAAAGAGGACATTGGTTTTGAGAGGTCGTGTAGACTCAGTCTTGCAGGCCTTGTTCTGTTTTCATCTCTGAGTTTGGTGGAGGAAACATCTGGCGCCTCATTAGCAGCAAAAAGATTCTGAAGGATTGAGTATCATTAACTCAGAATCAAATCTTTTATTCACCAATAAGTGTTAAGTTCAATTTGAAATATAACTGCTCGACCTAAAAACAAGGTTACAATAAATACAAAGGAACATGAACACATCACAATATAGATACAATCAACAATGTGTCATATATAAACTATGCAAACAGAAATTCAACACAATACACATTCAAAGTGTAATAAGTATTCAATATGTTTAAATAGAACATTTAAGATTTATAATAAAAGTGGAGAGAAAATGATTTTAAAAAGATTAGCTATCAGTAAGAATTCTTGCCACTACTCATCACTAGACATTTTAGGACCATCATAAATTCATCGTAAGAATGAAATAACACAAATGGACTAAAATTGTCTACCAAATAAATACTGTATTATTTTTAGCTTCTTCAAAGTTAGCATGCAGTTTATTCCAGCTCTGTACACTCTCTCAACCAACTTCATGAGTTGCATCCTGAGATGCTTTTAAATAGTATTGAATGAGTCCCTATGTATGATAGACACTTGTTGGTGGCCCTTCACTAGCCATTAATGACCGATACACTACATAAAACAATTTAAAAAAACAACCAACCAACCTTTTTTACAGGAGTACTGTGCCAGGGCTCCACTGGAGATCCTGTAGATGAATTAATTAATTTAAAGAATAATCATCATGTTTTAGACCTGAGGGGTTTCTAATATTCCTTCATGTTTACATGAGGTTTATCACCTTTTGACATCGAAAAACTTCCAAGAGTTTTAGAGTTTCTTCTTTCCTTGAACCCCTCCATCACATCTCGCATTGGACAAACACTGACAGACAAATGTCTGAACTAGCAGACAAGACTTAGTATTACTTCTAACTTCACTTTAATTGAACAAAACAGCAGCGTCAACACCATAGCGAAGCACAATATCAATATCTTGTTATCGGTGCCTGATTATGACACAAAGTTGAGTTTGATTGTTTTTAAAGATGCATTATTTAAGTGTAAACAAGACACTCGGGATTAAAAAAACAACAACAATAAATGCAATATTTAACAGCCTAACTCCTAATCCAAATCACTGTTAAATAAAAAAAAAAGTGCAATTAAAAAAATTTAATTCAGATTCACTGTGAAATGTATGTGACAAGAAGCGGGTGATTATTTTCGGAATTCTCAAACGGCATGTTATGATCCGCGCTTAACTGGGCTGTCCAACGAGATGCCTGGTTTAAATATTCGTTCAAAATTCTGTTTATACATATGCTTTTCATTCAATTACATAAAATGTCTTATATAAAAATCGTATTACACATGTTCAAATTATTAATTTAGTTTTACCCGAAAATATTTCATCACGAAGTGCGTACGTAATACGGCAAAGGCGCGAACTACGTTGTTGCTCTGCCTCAGAGAGGCGTTGTCAGGACCCAAAAAGCCAAATCAGACAGTGAAGGTGTGCTGAGTAACAGTGGAACTCTTTCACCCTTTAAGGAACAGCCACACGAGTTAATTTAATAATGCTCAATGTGTTACTCAAAAGCAAGTTGAATTGAGATTATATCGACGGGGTATGTATGAGCTTGAGCGCGTAGCTGCTGTAGGAGAGCTGTGATTAGCAGTGCTGGCTAATGAATGGGTGCTCAATGGAGTGGATGGATGGTCCTTGTGCGGAGGCTCCTAGATTGAAGTCAGTCAGCGACTCTAAAAGAGTTTTAAACTATATTTGAATGCATTTATTAGTGTAATAAGAAGAGCCTTTGATCAGACCCATTGCATTTGATCATAGTGTGTTGGTTAGTCTCTAAAGCACCACTAGGTTTATGTGTTTACATGTACTTAAAAGCATCTTTTGTGATTTTATTAACCAAAATAGTACGTTTTGAGAGTCTAATTAATTTAAAACGATTATTTAATCTTACCCAAGGTTGATAAATCGTGCTGAAGTGACATGTGGAAAGTCTCTCTCATGTCAGAAGGGCCTTTTGCAATTAGACGGATAAATCGTTGGCTATGACATTTAACTTTCAGCCCAACTATTTATGCCTGATGTGTGGTTCGTTATATCTATTATAGATTTTGAGTATAACCATTTTCAGACAGACCACATTTCTGTATGCATTAGGAAGGCACCATATTGGTTTTTGCAAACTAAACACTTTACTCTAGGTTTTTGTGAATATATCTTGCAAATGCACATTTTAGGTTAGAATAGATTTTAAGCATAGCTTCGAATTCAAGTGTTGGTCTCTGTGCATCAGCTGGTTGTGTTATGTTGTCAGTCTAAAATAAGCCTTCTGTATGATTTGTGTAGATTCATGTAATATGGCTACTACTGAGAATGCAGAGTCGGGTTTACCAGAAAATAAAGTGGATCGGGCTGACCCAGATGCAAAATACCCACTAAAAGTGCTCTATTGTGGAGGTGAGAAAATGCAAAAAAAAAAAAATGCATTGCCAGTGCTAACTGTCTGTGATATATTAATTAAATAAAAAAGTAATTACAATTTTATTGACTTAATAATTCTGGTTCGCAGTCATGTAATACTAACATTTCTCTCCTCTTTTACTTACAGTGTGTTCTCTGCCAGTAGAGGTGAGTACATCGCATGTTAAAGGAATGGTTCACCCAAAAATGAAAATTAGCTGAAAATGTACTCACCCTCAGGCCATCCAAGGTGTAGATGAGTTTGTTTGTTCATGGGAACAGATTTGGAGGAATTTAGTATTAGATCACTAGCTCACCAATGGATCCTCTGCAGTGAATGGGTGCCGTCAGAAGGAGAGTCCGACCAGCTGATAAAAAATATCACAATAATACACACCACTCCAGTCCATCAGTTAATGTCTTGTGAAGCGAAAAACTGTCTTTGTTATAAACAGACCCACCATAAAGGCATTTTTTACTTTAAACCATTGCTTCCGGCTAAAATACAAGTCCGTAATTAATAATTGCTTTCTTCATTGGAAAAGTCATCCAGTCTGAATCAGGAGAGAAATATGCACAGATCAAGCAACATCTACAGGCAAAAACAGTTCTAAACATAGTATATCTCAGTGTATTTTGATGCGAGTGCAGTGAATGCACTTTTCCAGTGGAGGAATCGTTATGGACTAAAATTTTGGCCAGAAGCAATGATTTAAATTTAAAACATCTTGATGGATGGATGGAGTGGTGTGGATTATTGTGATGCTTTTATCAGCTGTTTGGACTCTCATTCTGACGGCACCCATTCACTGCAGAGGATCCATTGGTGAGCAAGTGATGTAATGCTACATTTCTCCAAATCAGTTCTGATGAAGAAACAAACTCATCTACATCTTGGATGGCCTGAGGGTGAGCACATTTTCATTTTTGTGTGAACTATTCCTTTAAAAATGATCACATATTCTGTTGGTAGAAAGCAAATGAATAAAATGCTTCTGCTTTGCTCTGCTAGTACTGCGAGTACATGCCTGAGCCGGCCAAATGCAAACAGTGGCTTGAGAAGAACTTTCCTGATGTGTTTGCTAAACTGACTCTTGGTGAGTAGATTTTCTGTCACAGCAACTTTTAAAATGTCACCAAATCATATTAAGTCTTAAAAAGTGCTTTTTCTTACCATTTTAGCTTGCTTACCATTTTATTTATGCCTCCATAGTTTTGACTCTTGCAGGATTGTTTGATCTCTGAGTGTCTTTTTCATATTTGACACTGAGACAAAGAATATTTGGTCGGGACCATTATGACATGCACTGCTGTATCAGTTAGTAGTTTGCTCACTGATGTCACTGCTGTTGTGTAAGTACAGCACCCAAGAAGGAAACAACAGGAGGAGGAGGAGGAGGAGGTGGCGGTGGAGAGGCACCCCCTGTGGGAGAGGAAGAGGAGAAGAAGAAACAGAAGAGAGGTTAAACATTTTTCTTTTATATTTAACTTCTATAAACAAAAATGATTTGGAGTGGTGGAGCAGTGGAAGTGCATAGCGCACATTACACCCCACATCCAACACTTTTTTGAATGTCTTAAAGGGTAAGTTCACAGATTTTCAACCAGCTTTGTATTGTTACAATGTTTCAAGTTACCTGCACCAAGATATCCGTTTATTCATCAGCAAAAGTTCGCCAGATGACATAAAACACATCATACAGTGAACTTTTGACAGTGCCAGGGCTTTTGTGTAAACTACAGATAGTACTTCCACCTTATTTAATCACCGCTCATGTTTAGTCTGATTGAGCCCCCAGTGCATTATGGGTGTTAAAGTTTTCCTACCTTTTTTCACTACATTCTACTGCAATTTTTATTAAAACCCCATCTTGCAAGTGGTAAATTACCATTACCCCTATATCTGTCCAATGAAAACATTTGAAATTAAATTATAGCTAAAGGAGAGTTTATTTTGGCTTTATGTCCCTGGTTATTAATATGAGCTTCAATAACAGGCTACTTTAATTCCTTAAATTTTTAAGATCAATTAAACCTATCAGTGTTATTTTAGTATTATTTATATATTAATATAGTTTTTATTAATATTTTCAATTAGGTATTTGTTATACTTGTATTTTAAGGCCATGAAAATAGCCTTTGATGCTGACATGGCATTAAATAAATATATACTAGACTATTTTCAATTAGCCTTTATTGTTATACTTTCAGTTTTAGTTTGGGCTTCTGTCATTTTATTAGTTTTGGTTGTTTTTTTAATATTTAGTTTTAGTTTTAATTTTAGTATGTCAAATGAAACTTATTTCAGTTAATTGCCAAGGCAACTTTTGAAGTTTTCATATATGTTTAAAGTTTTCATAAAATATTTTATTTAAATTACCGAAAACTATTTGTAACGATGTTTTAGTTGCTACCAACAAACACCACTGACATGTTTAAAATTTGAGTTTGGCTATGAAATTATAATTGAATATTAATTTTGTTTTTCCCCTTTGCAGGTGGAAGAGGTCAAATCAAACAGAAAAAGAAGACCGTACCGCAAAAAGTCACAATAGCAAAAATCCCACGAGCTAAAAAGAAATACGTCACAAGGGTGTGTGGCCTGGCCACTTTTGGTAAGGCTGTGATTGTAGTTAGAAGATTGTCCTAATGTTTGTCATCTGTATTTTCACCCTGTGGTAACTTTGTTGTTGTTTTATGGTCCACATCAGACATTGACCTTAAAGAGGCTCAGAGGTTCTTTGCTCAGAAATTCTCCTGCGGTGCCTCAGTGACAGCAGAAGACGAAATCATCATTCAGGGAGACTTTACAGATGACATCATGGACGTCATCCAGGAAAAGTGGCCTGAGGTAAGCGAACATCCCAGATCCAGCTGCAAAGTCTGACCAGAAGAACCTTTATCAAAGCCGTTTTTGACATGTTCTCTAACCCCACAGGTGGACGACGACAGCATCGACGATCTCGGAGAGGTCAAAAAGTGAAGCCCAATATGCACTTTTACTGAAACGTATGTGACGTGACACAGCAAACCTGGCCAAATGTACACATTGACATAAAGCCCTTTTATATCTATTTTATTTACTGTATAGAATTTCCATGGACTTGGCTTCATCCTTGGGGTTTTTCAGTTCTTGATAGCTGCTTTGTCTCTTGGTTGCCAAAGGTCTGGAATGATGTGACTTAAAGCATTTCTCACATGCAAACAGTAGACTAATAAATTTCGGTCTCATTCGACACACTTCTATTGTGTATTGTTTCTTCTATCACAGCCTCCAATGCAACACTGTGGCCTTTAGTTTGACGATTTACAAATGCATTTCGAAAGGGTAATAACAAAAAAAGAAAATCATTTACTCACCCACATATCGTTCCGTATATATTTATTTCTTCTGAAAACACAAAATCTTTTAATGAATATCCAGTTGGGTAAATTCAATACAATGTCAGTGTGATTTTTTTTTGTCTGACAATTTTGACTTACTTTAAAGTTTCATTATCCGTGCGGCTTGCTGATCATTTTCCAAATGCTCCAGTCAGTTTTGGTGAAAATCAACCTGATATTTACACCATACCACAATAAAATCCCTCTCCTGCGCTTCAGTCCTTACTCCAGTCCAGTAGGTGG